GATGGGAGTCGAGAGGAGGGAGGGGGAGGGAGAAGGGATCTAGCGGGAAGGAAGGGGAGGGGGGAAAGGTCGAGATGGAGGGATAGGGGAGGTCGGAGGCGATGGATGGGAAGGGGGAGAGGTCGGGATGGGAGTCGGGATAGAGAAGGGGGAAGGAGGGATAGGGGAGGTCGGCGACAGAAGGGGAGGAGGGAGAGGTCAGGATGGGAGACAAGTTAGGGCCATGTCGGGATAGAGGAGGGGGGGTGGCGGTTGGGATAGAGGAGAGGGAAAGGCGATGGAGGGAAAGGTCGGCGAAGGAAGGGAAGGCGGGAGAGGTCGGGATGGGAGTCGGGATAGAAGAGGGCAGGAAAGAAGGGGAGGGGGGAGAGGTCGGGATGGGAGTCGGGAGTCGGGATACGGGAGAGAGAGATGATGGAGGGAGAGGTAGGCGAAGGATGTGCCACGTGGCACTCGACGGAGTGGAGGAGGAGAGAAGAGGGATGTATGGAGGGAGAGGTTGGGATGGGGGAGAGGTAGAGACGATGGAGGGAAAGGGAGAGACGTCGGGATGGGAGTCGGGATAGAGGAGGAGGGCAGGAAAGAAGGGGAGGCGGGAGAGGTCGGGATGGGAATCGAGATACGGGAGAGGGAACGGCGGAAAGGAGGAGGAGGGAGGAGGGATCTATGGAGGGAGAGGTCGAGATAGGGGAGAGATAAAGGCGATGAGGGGGAGACGTTGGGATGGGAGTCGGGATAAAGGAGGAGGGCAGGAAAGAAGGGGAGGGGAGAGAGGTCGGGATGGGAGTCGGGATACGGGAGAGGGAGAGACGATGGAAGGAGAGGTAGGCGAAAGAAGGGAAAGGGGGAGAGGTCGGGATGGGAGTCGGGATAGAGAAGGAGGAAGGAGGCATAGGGGAGGGGAGAGGAAAATGCGATCGAGCGACACGTCGATGAAACAAGAGGAGGGGGAGAGGTCGGGATAAGAGTCGGGATAGGCGAGAGCTGTCTCTTATACACATCTAGATGTGTATAAGAGACAGGCATAAGCACCGAATTCACGATGCTCCAAGCACCGAATCCACGAAGTGGCAAGGACGAAGCACGACGCATGAAGCACAGAATTCCAATATGCTCC